TACATACGTACATACATACACATACACATACACAGAGATACACAGATACACAGTTACACGGATACATACATACATACATACATACATACATACATACATACATGCATACATGCATACATACATATATACATACCTACATACATACATACATACATACATACATACATACATGCATACATACATACATACATGCATACATACATACATACATACATACATACATACATACATATGCAAACCATAACACATATGTACAAATTAAATGCATACATATGTATGGGTATATGCGCAGACACATACAAATCTATGCGTGTGTGTCTACACATGTGCGCATATATATATATATATATGTATATATATATATATACACGTATAACACAGATGTTCTTATGTACGGACTAGTTCTATATAAGCCCTGAAACCCAAAACCATCAAGCTCTAAAAGCCTAAACCTCAGAGTCCCATCAAAACCGAGGACCTTAGAGTCTTAACATGGTCCAAACCCTAAACCCTAAAACCCTAAACCGTAAACTCTGAATTCCTCGCCCAAAGGCCCTAAAGCCCCAAACCCTAAACCCCGAAACCCTAAATCCTAAACCCTAGACCCTAAACCCTAAACCGCCGATGAGGCATCCTTGGCGGACCAAATCCTGGTCCTGCTGCAAGGCTCGACCCCACGCTGCCAGCTTTTCAGTTTAGGGCACGGTTGAGGGTTTAGAGTTTAGGGTTTAGGGTTTGGGGTTTAGAGTTTAGGGTTTAGGGCCAGTTTAGGTTTTTCGGTTTTGAGTTTAGGGTTTAGAGTTGAGGGTTTAGGGTTTAGTGATTAGGGGGCTCCTTGAAAGGGATCTACAAGGGTTCCTTGAGAGGGATCTGTGGGGTTTGCATAGAGATTAGCGCTTTGAGGATTAGGGCTTAGGGCTTTATGGATAAGGGGGTGTAGAGTACAGGGTTTGGGTTTCGAGTTTTGGGATTAGGCATTAGGGGGGTTGAAGGTATAGAGTTTGGTTTAGGGTGTTTAGGGCTTTAGGGCTTTGGGTTAAGTTGAGGGCTTTAGGGTGATTAGGGTGTTCGGTTTTGGGAATTCAGGGATAGCCTAACATAGCGTTCTCAGACAATCCTCTGAATCATATGCATTTTCTTTGCTGGGGAGGGGCGGGGGAGGGCAAGGGGTGGAGGGGTTCACAGGGTCGCAGGAGGTCTGCGAGGTGGTTTGTTTTCTTCGCATGCAAGGTTTCATCTGCTTTTGGGGTGCTTTTTCGTAGGGTCTTGCAAGGTGATTTAGGGCGCCAGCTGTGAAGTTAAAGCGTTGCGGCTTTGAAGGTGTGGTTTTCAGTATTTTCCGATGGAGATTTTGGCTTTCTTGCATTGGCGTGTATCCTAAACCCTAAACCCTAAACCCTGAGTGTATCATTACCTAGCTTAGGCATGAAACTTTACGACCTTTGCCTTTGGATCCTAGGTAGTGTTACCTTCTTAACCCTACTTGTGGCTCTCTTAAAGTCTTAAAAGGGACCATATTGAGAGGGTCTATATCCCCAAGGGTCCCCGTTATCCAAACTCCCATGGGCAGCGAAATGCTCATGGGCTGGAGGGGGCATTTCGGGATGAATGGTTGCGCAGTGCAAGTTGGGTAGTTCTCTAAAGTAGGGTCCCTTTTGAGGTCCCCAGTATAGTACGGCACTCTTATGCAAGGACTCTAGAAGGGGCCCTAATATAGAGAACTACCCAGTTTCAGGCTTGTGGCGGTTCTGCGCTGATGGTCTCACTGTGATGGCGCTCTCATGGAGCCGGCACTGTCAGTGGCAGTCACCACTGAGCACTAAAACAACACTTTGCACGTGCTATGCATCCACAAATGTTGCACTTAAGCGTGCCTGGACGACTTCATGACTTTAAGGCTAGGCTTCTCTTCAGTACATAGTGTTTCCTCCACATTTCTTGGCACACGGCGCTACTAAAGTGGCCTTACTAATTAAAATAGGGTTCTGGGGCCATTATACTATAGTTTTAATAAGGAGCCCCCCAACAAATAGTAGAGGTAGTTATTACGGGCCCCTATATTGCGTAGCTCTTCCGGGCTCATCCTGTCGGGATGCTGATGCGCAGGCTGCTGCATGGTGGAACAGGTCTGGATCGCGACGTCGCCGCTGCCTCAGCACCCAAGCTCCGTGAGGTCAAGTGGGAGGGTCCTAAAATACGGGGTACCTTGTTTTGGGGTCCTTATAATTAGAATCCTACTATTTAGGGTTCTATATTAGACCTTATTTTGGGGTCCTTATAATTAGGATCCTGCTATTTAGGGTTCTATATTAGGGTCCCCTATTGTCGAAAAAAAGAAACTCCCAAGTCTCGGAGTCTTACAAGGTTTGCCATGTGGGTGATGTGAGTGTGGGGCTTTGTAAAAGGAGAACCAGCATGGGGAAGCCACCGTCTGGCCGCCCAGATGGGGTCGTTTCAGGGGAAGCCAGGGTTTTAGGGTTAAGGCTTTTAGGGTTAAGGGTTTAGGGTTCAGGGTTTAGGGTTTAGGGACCCTTAACTACCGCTCTCATCATCGACAACTTTGTCCTCGACATGTCGCAACGACGGCGCATCCCGACTCAGCCCAGAGTGGAACAGCGGAATTCGGGCGCTCGTTGGGAGCATGGAGTTTTTTCAGTACACATATTCGTCAATCTGAAATCCTTGTACTATCTGCCTGGTTGGTGAACCCCCTGAACTATGAAGGTCAGGAGTCCCCAAACCCCCCAACTTAGTGCCAAGCCGAGCACATCCTCACTTCAAGGCCAACGTCAGCACGGATGACCGTGTCCGAGATTGTCGCAGAGTCCTTGGCCGCGGCTGAGGCACTCTGGTAGGTGTTTGGCGTAGAGTTTGGGGTTCTTCAGGTTTAGGGGTTCAACTCAAGGCTGGAAACTCTAGGATTCAGAGTTTCTGCGGGGGTTTTCCGAGCAGGGCGATGGAAGAGAGGCGTGGTAGGACTTGGTTGTAAGAGTGTTGAACTTCGTTTGGCCTCACGATCCTGGTTCGATTGCACATGAAGCTCCAAGCAGTGTCCCGAGTCACAACCGCCGATCCCGAGGGTTTGAAAGACCTCTAGCTATAACCTCTATATACCCCCAAATCCTACACCCTAATGCCCTAAACCCTCATCTTCCCAACTCGAAGTCCCACCTGCGTGCTGAACTCTGTATCCTGGGACAGCAGAAAAACTGTGTATTGGGTCTGCCCGGAAGCCCTGAACAGCCCACCCTGAACCCCTAAACCCTAAACCCAGGGCCCATTGCACTTAAAACCCTAAACCCTAAACCCTATCAACCCTATAAGCCCTATAAACCCTATAAACCCTAAACCCTATAAACCCTAAACCGTAAACCCTAAACCCTCTAAACCCTAAGCCAAACGCCTAACCTTGAGCCTTCAGCAGAATCCCGAAGCCTGGAAACCTGGAACCATGTGGCTGCTTTTAGACAAGAGGGGTTTAGGGTTTAGGGTTTAGCGAGGGTCCGTCCAATGAGGATCCTGGTATTTAGTGTCTATTGTTTGGGGTCCCTGACTTTCCCTACTCTTTTAGAGGGTCCTGATACCAATAAGGATGCTGGGCTGGTATGTAGGGCTTACTTCGTTTCTGCACCTCCCAAGTCCCCCAAAAACACCCATGAGTCTCTTATACCTGAAACACTCAGCCCCAAACCCTAAACGCTAAACCCTAAACCCTATAAGCCTATAACCCTAAACCGTAAACCCTAAACCCTAAACCCTAAACCCTCCACCACCTGAAGCCTGAACCGCGAAGGCCGAAAACGGTAAACCCTAAACCCCAAATCCGTACACCCTAAAAACCCTATAACCATAAACTCCACCGAAACTTGAGAGCCTAAACCCTGCACCCTGAAGAGGTCTTTCGAGAGTGCTTACTTCAGAGCGCGCCGCTTCACGAGGCTTCTCTCTCCCCACTGTTCGTGAGTTACTATAGGGCCCTTTATATGTACCTTTACTACTTTGTGGCATCCTTATCATGGTTCGAGTATAATATACACCAAAACCCCATTCTAGTTATTAAGGCTACTACATTAGTAGAGTTGATGGCTTTAAGGCTAGATTTGTTTAGGGCTTTAGTGTTGTTTAGGCGACACTTTTGGCTTATTGCATCCATGAGGCTTCGGCTCGGGGCTTTTAGGGTCGAGGGTTCAGGCTCTAGGCCTGAACATTCATGAGGTCAGATGCTTCGTGGTGACCAGGCAGAAAGATAGTAGGAATGGCGCTTCTATGCACAAGACCAGCAAGAAGCAATCACAATCAGCAGAATAAAGCTATGCATGAAGACGAGATCTTTTAGGCCAAGTCAGCAGTAAGCATGCAGACTAGTACCGCCCCTAAATAATAAGTAGCACTGCTACTTATTGCTATATTGTTATTTCTACTACTATGATAACAATTGTTATTGTTATTGCTACTACTGCTTTTAGTAGTAACATTCCTACTAATCTTATTCTCTTATATTCGTATTAGTAGTATTATCTTTATGCCTGCTAGTATAAGCTTAAACAGGACCTCAAGCCCTAAACCCTAA